CAAATTAATATGGTAAATTAGATTTCAAATCTTATATGTTCATTTTGATTGGTCATTTAAAAAAAAAAAATAACAGATTTTCGTTTTATAATTTAATTAAATTAATTAAATGACATAAATTAGTATTTTACTTGTTTATCCTTAATAAATTGAATGAAATTTGTTCAAAAAGAAGATTTTTGTAATGGCATTCTTAAGTAAATTCTTACAAAAGGGAAGATTAGTTAAGGGTATCTTATAAAGTGTACTCCCCAAATAATAGTATAGGATAGTAGAGTCATTTTTCCTAAACGTGAAAAATTGATAAATATATATTTTTTTTATCAATCACACATTTATTAAAAAATAATATCATAAAATAAAAATCTAGAATGACGGATTAAACAGTCTATTTTAACATTACATAAACGAGAAATAAGAGAAAGCGAGAAGAGGAGAAAGGAGTCACAAAGCAAATCCAAATCATATAGCAGATTGGAGAATGCGGGCCATTCTTCATGAGATTGTACCATCGAGACTAACTCAGAACATTCTGTTTCAAACGCATGACAATCAATCCTTCTTGAAAAGATGTTCTTCACAGCCCAAATTAAAACCTCCAACTCCGAATGAATGGGGAGAGGGGCATCTCCGAAGGTATTTTGCACCAAGCAGCAAAGTTTTATCAATTCCTTGAAAACACTACCATCCTATACTCATAGTTGGGCCGAAGATTTCCAAGAGCCATCAATCCGATATTTTATAGATTGGATTGGCCTTTCCATAAAATCCGTAATATTGCTATTTTCTATCGGTTCCAATTGAGGTTCTTCCCACATTAATTTTTCACTCAGAGAATGATTTAAAATATCTGTGGGTTCAGATTGTATTCCTTTGAAAACTTTTCTATTCCTATCTTTCCATATAAACCACAAAATCCAAGCAGAACAGTAAGTTTTCTCCCCTCTATCTATCGGAGGTGGTAGCCTCCAATAAAGATTGTCTAGATTAGAGAATTCCAACCTTAGAAGAAAACTACCTGATACCATATGTATTTCAGATAATTCCCAGACTTTTTGAGAATAAGAGCACTTAAATAAAGCATGATTAATTGTTTCCTCTGCCATCTCACACCTTTTACAGGTAATATCACACCAAATTCATCGATGTGCTAATTTTTAAGTTACTGCTAAGGATCCCGAAGCAATTTGCAATAAGAAGTATTTTATTTTTGGAGGAGCTTTGACTTTCCAAGCTTGTGCTTGTTAAGTTTTACAATTTGAGCCCCATTCAATCGCTTCAGTCATCCCTCGGAAATATGGGATAATGACGAATCAAAGTTTATTAACCACATCTTTTTCATTTTATAGAATATATGGCGTTGTAATAACAAAGTAACACAATCGCAAACGTAATTCTTAAGTTACCCAAATAACGTGAATGTATTAGTTTTAAGAAACACAATTAATGGTATATAGTAGAATCATTTTTCCTAAACCTGAAAAATTAGTGACTATTTTGAATGTAAAACAAAAAGCAAAATCACGTTTTGAAAACATAAAAACGTAATCATGTGGTATTATTTATAATTTTTTTAGGATAATATTAATGAATAGTAAAATAAAACACCGAAATTAAAAAAATAGCAGAGAAAAATATTTTTGTTGCAAAATAGCCATGGATCCACGTTGACAGAGTAATATTAGAAAATAAAAATGTATAAGAACGGGCTAAGAAGTCCATCTTAACATTACATAAACGAGAAATAAGAGAAAGCGAGAAGAGGGGAAAGGAGACACGGAGCAAATCCAAATCATTTAGCAGATTGGAGAATACGGGCCATTCTTCAGGAGATTGTACCATCAAGACTAACTCAGAGCAATCTGTATCAAACGCCTGACAATCAATCCTTCTTGAAAAGATGTTCTTCATAGCCCAAATTAAAGCCTCCAACTTCGAATGAATGGGGGGAGGAGGGGCATCTCCGAAGGCATTTTGCACCAAGCAGCAAAGTTTGATCAATTCCTTGAAAACACCACCATCCTATACCCATAGTTGGGTCCGAAGATTTCCAAGAGCCATCAATCCGACAATTTATAGATTGGATTTGCCTTTCCATAAAATCCGTAATATTGCTATTTTCCATCGGTTCCAATTGAGCTTCTTCCCACATTAATTTTTCACTCAAAAAATGATTTAAAATATCTGTGGGTTCAGATTTAAAAATTGGCAACTTTGAGGGTTTTTTTGCACAAAACCCCAAAATCAGCGATATGCGAGACATTTTCGTGAGAATTTTCAAAATAGCATGTAACATTTAAATTTTACATATTATATTTAACTAAAAGACATGATATTTTAAAAAACGTAGTGATTTTTTAAGAAAAAACATTGCTATGTAGTGTTTTTTTTTAAGAAAAAACCTTGTTATGAAAAATTTAATCTGGATAGAATTTTTTTTTTTAAAAAAATCTAATCTTAATAAATATCGTGTATTACTAAAAAAATCATCTTTTTTAAAAAGAAATCACATGGGATCTTAATAAAAAAACGTGTATTATTACAAAATAACATGATAAGAAAAGATATTATACTTAATAGAATGCTTTTTCCAAGAAATATCATGTGTTCTTTATAAATAACGTGTAGTAAAAGAAAAATACATGATAAAAAGAGATATATTATGCTATCACATGTAATTCTAGAAAAACACATGTTACAAAAGACAATTACGTAATTATGTGTGCTCTCCGACATAATCCCGACAAGTTATTCTAGCATATAGTTAGTTTGTTAATTATCTTCAAAATTTTGGCTATTCTATGCATATTCTCTTTTTTTTACCGAACACCCAAAAAAATTATTTTATTTCAAATTTTTGTCAACGTTAATGGGACTTCTCACTGAATACCTACAAAAAAAAATCGAACAAAAATACTTATGTAAATAAAAGGTTATCGTTTAATTTTATAACCCAACAATTGTGATTAAACTGTGCATTAAGTATTGATATAAAATAATTAAATAAAAACATTAATATTTATTGAGATAAGAAACATAAAAAAAGGAGAGAAAGAGGAAGTGGAAAAGTTTTTCTTACTCACCGAAAACCATTTTGGAAATTGGGGAGAAAATCCAATTCATTTCGTTTTATCCAATTCGCTGATACTAAAGTTAAATAATCTTCGTTTGAGAGATAATCAAGTTGCAACAGACGAAAGAATTCCGGCGAGACTGTTGAAAATCACTACGTTATTTGAAATATACCTTACTATCATATCTTATTCTTAATATACCTTACTATCATATCTTAAGAATATAGGAAACCTATACCATATTAAGAATAAGAATCCCAAAGAGAGTGTAAGAAAAACAGTACGAGAATTTTAGAAGTTAGAAAAGTTGTAGCTCGGAGTTAGCTTTGCAAAGTGAGCGCCTCAGAATCGTGGTGGGTCATAATCCACGTGTCACTTGAAACCGTAAATGGCATGCTAATGTTCACACTTCTCTATATTGGTAGACAAAGATGTTTATTTTTTGCATCCGAAATTTCTACAAAGACAAGGTAATGGAAAAGAAAACCGTTTTGAAAATTTACTTGGAAATTGGAGACTTCTAGTCAAGCTTAATTTTTTTTTTAAAGATGAGTTTTCTGTTTAACTCTATAAGGTTAAGCAACTATGACACTAAATGTTCCATGTTGTCATATTACTAGACAACAGCTTTAACCATACTATATAGGAAGATTTAGTTATTAAACCAGTGTGAAGTGCCAGGAATAAGTGCAAAAGGCACGATGTGATCCGTAGCAAGAGTGAATAGTGCCAGGAATAAGTGCAAGAGGCACGATGTGATCCATAGCACGAGGATATGTGTGGGTTTCCACGTTTTTTTTTTTTTTTTTTTTTTTTTTTTTTTTTTTTTTTGGGTTTCCACGTTGTATCCGACCCGTCTTTATGGCGGTGATGGGACGTAGTTTCATTTGTTTGTTGGGTGTGTGTCGATGACACGTGATTGCGTGCATGTCTTAGGTTTAGACTTTGTGATTGTCTAAGCGTGTTTATGTATGACGACTTCGTGAGCCTTGAGGCTTGCCCTCACTAAGTGATCTTTGATTGCTCCTCCCTCTCTCTTTTGCAGGTTGGTTAAGTCAAGAGTTCGTTTGCATTGTTAGTTGGCGGTTTTGAAATTAAAGATTGTTTTGGACCTGACCAAGAAGTCAACTCGTTGACCAGCTTTATGATACGGGTTCGGATCCATTTAAGATCGTTGGAAGAGGGAGACGAGCACAACATTTTTCACACTTTTCTTCTTACTTCCCGTGCACAATTTTTATTCTTACCTACTTTTTCCACCAAACACCATGTAAATTCAAGTTTTAGTTAGCTATTCTTATATGTAATTAAACGCATATTAACGAAGTCAGCAAGCGCTTGCTTTTTCTTATTTTTATCTACTTTTTATTCATATTCATTATTTTATTTCGATTTAGTGTCTCATCCACAGAAGCATTGATCCTAGTTAAACCAAATTTGCGATATAAATTGTGCGGATTCCGACATCCACATATTTATTATTCTTGATTACATGAGATAAATTGATCCGATCAGTGATGATTATTGAGAGGAATTAGCAGAAGCTAATTTGAGAGAGACACTGTTAACGCAGTGATGTTGATCGGTTTGAGTAGAATAACCTTCTCCTTTGAAAACATGGCCTAGATGTCCATCACACACTGCACATGTTATCTCCATTCTTTTTCCACCTGCTTCTGGCTATAAACATTAATTAAAAAAAATACATCGAATTAGTAATCATTTTAATTATAATATTTCATATATATATTAGTTTAAATGGTTTTGGTGGATTGCCTATAAAGGTCAATGTTTATGTCCTGCGACATTTTTTTATTGTTCTGCACATGTTGTTTTGGAATTTTCTAATGTTCCACCAAAAACAACTTAACTCTTCTTTTTTACATAAGAGGATTTTGACGTTGTGGCCAATAAAATTGGGGGGTTGTTCTATAAAAATTCTTACGCTAAAAAAGCCGAAAACATGTGTTACAAAAACAACAAAAAGTACTTTTCATGTTGTTAAGCCAATGTATCAGTTAGGTCCAAACTAAAAAAACGTCAAATAAATGTTAAATCACCAAAAACTATAGAGAAGAGTCAAGTGATTACAGTTTGTTTAATAGCACCGGGGATGGCGTCGAAGAACTCCGGCCAACCGCAACCGGAGTCGAACTTAGTTGTTGATTTATAAAGAGGAGCCGCACAACCAGCACAACTATAAGTCCCTTCCTCGAACAATTTCGTAAACTCTCCTTCGTCTCGTTTAAGAAATCTAAACCCATTAACAACCTGTTTAGATACACTACTTACTGCTCAAGTAAAGCGAAAAATAAAATAAAAACCCATGACAAGCACTTACTCTGTGCCTTTTAGTCTGAGAACCGTAAACTGCTCAGGAGACAGAACCGCACACCACTCCTCTTCTTGTTTATGGAAAGATCCAGTTGTTGGAACTGCTGCCGCGGTTATTTCTGCCATGACAAGAATAGGATTTGTTTATGTAATGATGCTTGAGAGATCGAAGAGGAAGAAATTAGCTTTTGTTTGAAGTTTTGTAGTAATTAAAGACTTGGTTTAATTGTGATTAAACATGACAATTGGCTGCAGAGCCGTGCCAAGGTCAATGGTTGCCAGAGGCGGTCAAATGAAATTTGCCCCAATTCACAAAACAAAGATGCTTCTACAAAGATAAATTGTCATATGACGAAAGTACGTCAAAACCAAAACATAAATTAGTTCCTTTTTTTTTGTGAAACTCATAAAATTAGTTCTAAAACGTAATTCTTCTCTCTTTCTCTCCAACAAAATCATTAGCCTAATGTTTAAAGTCAATTTCTCTAACAAATTTTCTTTCGATAGATAAGATCGCCAAGTCACTCAATCTTTTTTTATGATTATTAAGTAATACATTATAGTTTTAGTTATAAGATGTATTGTATTATTATCAAAATTTGAAATACTATGAAACATCTAATATTTTTTTTTTATATACAATACAATTTCTATAACGCATAACTTGATAATCATTAACCTAAATTTAGAATACTTTGTTCTGTTTAGTTTCTTTATTCTTTTTATATTTTTCTACTTTAATTTTATTTTCTTATTACTTAGATAAATGCAAGTGATCTGTTAATATTGGGCATATTAAACTAAATGTATCTTGTAGAAAAATATGCTTCTAAGATTTTTTTTTTTAAAATTGAGGACGTAGGCAAAGGTTTCTTTGTTATAGCTTGAGGCACGGCTCTGATTGGCTGAGGTATAAATAGGCGTAGACAAGAATTTTTCTAAACTTCACGATAAGCTCTTAAAGAAAACTATACTAAACAAATCAATACAATAATAAAAGTAAAATCTCTTTAGGCCTCACACCTCAGTATTGTGGGCTCTTCTCAGGTTAACACCTCATTAAAATCATCGTCTGATAAAAACATTTCGATTAATACACATTAGCTCTCGAGCTTGCCACATCAGCTTTCATTTCTGGCATAACACATCAGTTTTTTTTATCAAAAATACGTCATTTAAAAAAGACAACCAATCAGGTTTACAAAAAAAAAAAAGAAGACAACTAATCAAATTAAAACAAATAATACTCTTTATACTGCAATATATCTACAAAAAAAGAAAAGAAAAAAATCCTCTTTATTTTTTAAAAAATTGTACGACATCAGGTGGTTTTTAGAGAACAACATGCATGAAGTGAATTTAACAAGTAGTTTACAGATCGGGTAGCTTTTGTAAATTCATTTTGTTTTACCAAAAGTTTTTATGGTAAAAATTTAAAAATTTCTTTGGATATTGTATTTTACCTTTGCTCGTTTTATATTTTTATTTTTTATATGAATACACTAATAAATAATTTTTATATCTTACTTTTACAAAGGAAATGCACTATATAGTTAATCTCTGTATTTGTTTGCTATATTTTATATTTTTGTATATGTTTAACATTTTACAAATGATATTTTTATATAGTGATAAATGTTAATATTTTTTAGTAATTATTATACTTCAAAAACTTTAGATTATGCCTGTTAAAATTATTTGTGGTACACAAGCATAATTAGAATCATAGTATTAATATTTAATATACCTTTCTTCTTTTTAATAATTTTTTTACCATTAGATTATAATAATTAGCTACGTCGAAGTTTGTTTGTGTATGTTTTTCGTTAAAATCTGAATACTATGAACAATTTTATTTTATTTTAATAATTTTATTTTCTAATCATATCGGGCAATATTATTAGGGGTGTCCATTTTAACCGAATCAAACCAAACCAAACCAACCAAACTCAAATCGACCCAAACAAAACCATAACTTACATTCAAACCATAACCGATAACCCAATGTGTTTATCTATTTAATTAATTAATAGTATTAAATAATATTATAAATACATTTATTGGGTTGTCTAAAGAAGAAGCTGAGAAGTTGAAAGCTTTTGGGGTTAAAGTTGTTTTAGATCATAGGTTACACTTGCTCTTTCTCATTGCTAATTCAAGATGTATGGTCATAGGTTAGGTTTGTAACCTTTCTCTTCCTATTTTTTTCAATGTCTTACGATTCTTTACTCATAAGAGTTTACGATAGCTAAATTGGTTTACGCTTTCTTTTTATTTCAATTGAAAAAATTCACTTCGGTAAAGAACATTACATTCTTAGGATTGTAATCTCACACTTGCTCGGTTTGATTATCCTGTCTTGTTACTTCAAGATATATGGTCAAACCTGAATCTCTATTTTTCTCTTATACATGTATCTTGCTTCACTTGATCGTTTGCATATAAAGCATAAAGCTTTGTTAGTTCTTGTTCAAAAATGAAATCAACAAAGGAAAAAAATGGTCAAATTATTATATGTTCTAACCATAGAGATGTGTAGCCAAGTGAAAATTGCAATTGCAATTTGACTTATTTATGATTTTTGCTCTTTTGTTGTTTGTAAATTTTAGTGGAAATATCACAAATATTTATTGATTAATTGGTTATTATTAGTGATCTATTTTATAAAAGTATATAATTCAGCATAGCTAAGATTTGAGAATTAATTATGTATTTGTGGTTTATGTTTTGAATGAAGGTGATCTCACGCCGTCTCAAACTCTTGATCTACTCTATTCTAAAAACATTTAATGATAATATAAGTTCAGAGACAGACAAGGAGAAAGATGGGATTCCAAGGCTCCCTTAAAATGCTAAGAACCGTATGATCGTCATTCTGTAACTATTTATCTTTGAAAATTCTAATTTTAAGTCACGAACCAAGTTATTAACCAATGTTTATAAATTGCTTAGCCTATTAATTTTAAAAATCAATATCAAACTTTGTCTATCTTTTTAGATTTCTATATTTTCATGGAATTTTCGTAACTTGTGTTTAATTATTTCTTTTTTTTCGTCTGTATTTAATTATTTCTATCTAATAAGTTTCTCAAGAGAGATTGATGTCTCTTATGGTCGACAAACTGATTGATTCCAATAGTAAAGTCAATGTAATAAACTTTATTATTTTGCATGTTCTTGATGTTATCTTATATCTTGAATTTATGTGGATAACCTTGTTTGTATTTCTAATGGCAGAACAAAGATGCAAAGTGTCAAGCTCTTAGACAAGTAAACATAATTATAAACATATTGTTTATTGTTATAATTTCTTGTATTTTTTTTTAGTTTGTTGTAAACAAATCTTGTTTCTTTTCCAAAAAAAATCCTCTTTCTTTTTATTTTTGATGTAATAATATTGCTTGGGTTTTGATTGTTCAAATTAAATAAATTTTAAAAAATTATCTATCGCGTAGCGCGGATTTTGACCTAACATCAATAATAATAGGTAACAACTAATTAACTAGATAGATCTAAATTTAAAATAATATGCAGCAAGGAGAGAGACGAAAATAATTGAAGTTTTACTTTTGGACTTGACTGTGTTTAAGTATATCAATACAATAAAAACAATAGGGATCTCTCCTACGTTGACACATCAGCTTTTTCAGCTGTTCTAAGAGTGACACCTAATTAAAATCAACATCCAATGAAAACATTTTATTAATACAACTCAGCTATTCTCTGCCAATTATAATACTCCTTTGTTCCACGTCATTCTTTTATTTCTTAAAGCTTATTTCATGGGCTGATAGTTTAAAATGAATATGCTTATTATTATTTAGATGTCATTGAAATATTGGGCTAATTCTCCTTTTCATAAATAATAAAAACTTTTTTAGAATATTAGAAAAAACAAAATAGATATCGATAAATGAAGACAATCGTTGTGGTAATGGAAACTATATGAAAAAAACTTGTTGTTGTTTGTTGGCTACCAGTAATTATAGCTTTTTTTTTTACCTTGGATTTATTTGATTCTTCAGCAAGGTCGTTTTTTTACATAAAAAATTAAATCAAATATAGTGCTTAATGAATATGCGTTTTCAAATTATTTAAAAAAATTTTTGAGCAAAGTAATTCATATTATTCAAACATAGGTTAAACTTTGTAAAAGGCGTTTCAATCGGTAATATTCAAAAGAAAGTCACATTAGCTACACAATTTGTTTTAGTTGTAGATGACATATAAGACTATTTTGAATTTGAGTAACAAATATTTAGAAAAACTTACATATGTATCAAACTGACGAATGAAACTTGAGAAATTCTCGTGCTTCAAAAATAATAAAATATGGGAAGAAAGTCTCTAGAAAAATCCATTGGATTCTTCACGATGAAGCTTTCGTCTTTATCACTCCAAGAAACAATTGAATCAAAAGAAGAAATCATCTACCATTTCATGTGTTTTAGGAAGAAAAGGTGGACGTGAACATAAGCCTCCATCCCTTAAACACTATAAATCCAAGACGTTGAAAAACAAACCAAACTCAAATATAGACTTATTGCTCAGAATCGGAGATTAAATCAATGAAAGTATAAAATTTTAGGTTTCTACAAAACCAGATTCAAGTATTTGGATCAGAAGATTATGTTCCCTCTCAAGACAACAACCACGAATCGATGTCTCAATATTTAAGAAACACACATAATTGACAAATAAAAACCAAGAGTTTCCCACACAAGCCATGAAATTTATTGAGTGGAGAGAACCTAAAAAGTTTGCCCACTTGTATCAAATTAAACACCAAACCAAATCTTCCAATGGATCTACAAAAAACCGTTATACCAAACTCCTTAATTTATCCCCAAATCTATCCAAAACCAATAACAGACAACACAAAATGATAAACAAATTCCTTCTGCTTCTCCAACCAAATTATTTAAAATCAGACAAGAGGATCAATCAACAATTTAAACATTTCTATTTATCTCATGTTTCTGATTTGGAAATTGTCAAAACATACCAGATGATGACACAGAAGATTTGACTTCATACCGATTAATGCTAATTGGGGAAAACCAATTTTCAAAGCATCATGATTTGATTGATTGAAGAAACAAACATACATAGATGAACACTTTTCTTTACTAATGGAAGAAGATGATTTCTTGGTAGGATTAGAGAGAAAGAGAAAGTGTGGGTTGCGAAAGAGAAGAACGATTTTC